AGTAATGTTAAGCCTAATTATTAAAGAAATTTAATTTAAATATAAAAAGATAAGCATCCATTAAGTGCTTTGGCACTAAAATTTAAAAAAATTCAAAAGGTTGGGTTAATCACTTTAACCTGTGAACGACTCGTATAAGCATTCGTTTTAAAGGGATTAAAATCCTCCGAGGACGTGTCTTACATCTTGATTCTTCAAGCCAGAGAATATTCCATTATCCCTTGGGACCTGCGTCTTCAACGACGAATCAATTACGTCGTCCATCGATGCGGATCAAAATGAAAAATTGCACGGAAGACAAGAGTCAAGGGGAATTTTCGTCGATCATCGCGATGTCCCCGACTGAAATCGCCGCGATGCAGGAAATCGGCGGAAATGGAGGCTTTCTCCAGTGGTTTTCCACCCTCGGATTTTCACGGCTTTATACGCGTTACATAATGCACCGTACAGCACAACGTAGTGTAAGAGGGAAGAAAAAGAAAATATACTGGCCACGTCTAATGCATACACGTTCCTCGTCGTAGAGGATAACGGTAAAGTGTTTCGGAAGATTTTCTAAAATTATCTGGAAAGTCAATCAGAAAAGTAGTCGCATAGTGGTGCTATTACTGCTATTGTTGGATACCAATTCACACTGTACAGGAACAATTGAACCAAATCTTTTTGGGATTATTGTTTTTAACAATTACTTGTTGTATTATGTTTATTGTAGCAGCAAGTTAGTCAGAATTTTTATGAATAAATGAAGAGAAACAAAAGTACGATCCTCGATATTTGATTAAAATTTTTCTGACGCATATCGATTGGAATAATTTTCAACTTACACACGTTGTACAACTAATAAATTGGAAAATATTTAAGTTAGTAGAGAATTATATGAATGCTCGATAAAATGTTTTCAATGTTATAATATTGATAAATCGCCGAAACAAAATGTTAGAAAAGAATAAAATTGCAAATCTGAAGAACTAGTGCATTCATAACGTTCGAACATTTCATTCAAACGTAAAAATATAGAAGTAAAAGAAGAAATAAAATTTATACACGCCACGTTAAAAGTATATATCTTTTAAAATTGTTAAGTCTGTAATTGTTGTGCGTGAACAATTTCAAATGGTTTTTGAAAATACTGCGCGATTGTTTAACTTTATACTTTTCAGAATACGTAAAAATTTGAAGAAAGGTTTTTAATTTTTTACTGCCTGCTTTTGTAGCTTGACATGTATCATTTGTTTAATTGTTCATACAACAAATTATCAATCCGAATAAAATATTACATATAACAAAGGAAAATAATGAAGAAAAGTCTGAAAAATCAATAAATTGGAGAACTACGCTGGGGGTTTACAGAAATATGTCATTGTAAATTTAAGTAACTTAAAAAATTGTTAAGAATAATAAGTTAAATATTAAAAAAATGTAAATTAACATTGCATGGAAATGAGGAAGAAGGTTAAAATTTAAAAGTAATGTATTAATATTTACTATATTAAAGTTATCACGAAATAGTAAAGAAACAAAATATAGGGTGCGACCAAAAAATGCAGAATAACATTTTTTTGAGGCTTAGTTTTTGAGAAAATTGGCTCTGAACATCCGTTGCGTACGTTTGCCCTTACAATGCACATGCAACGAATTGTAAGATAACGGTTCGTCGAACAACATACAATCTCTATCATGTTTGTATTCAATGTCAATGCGATTTTTACGCGTTAGTAGGTTCAAAAAAACACAAAGACAACATTTTATGAACAGTATTGTAGTATACCAATTAAGGAATTATTGAAACTAGTGCCCTTGTGCAAATGTAGGCGACAGATTTTCAAACCTGATTTTCTCAAAAACTAAGCGTCCAAGGAATAAGATTGATTTAACATTTATTATTTATTTTTGCATAAGGAATCACCTCATGCCCGTTTGTACGATACCTTTGATCGCACCCTGTATAAAACACGCTGAGTGGTTAACATTTACTTACCTTTTAAAAGTGGCACTAGACGTCCCCAACAGGTAATTGCACCTTTTCGATTGAACTGGCCGAGGGCAAGTTCCATATAAAACAGAGGAATACCTCCTACCACTAACATTATGCAGTATGGAACTAAAAAGGCCCCTGTAAACGTAAATTAATTTATATTTAAACGTTCTTTCACGTAGGAATGTCGTTTTTAAATGATAGAATAGTATTAGATGTAAAGGTACCATAAAATAATACGATAAGACACCAAGCGACATCATTTTATTAAATTTAATGGAACTATTCAAGAATGGAATATGAACTACATTTTTTAAATAATCAAAGAGCTCCTTTATCTCTTACAGAGTTACTAACTTGGTTTCCTACATCTATCGTAGTATAAAGTGCACCAGAAGAATGACCAAGGACGTCTAGAAAACTCCGTTAAAAGAAAGCAGGCCAATCGTGAAATTATTTAATAACACTGCGCATTATTTTAACAAGAAATTTGTAAAATATTTACATCGAGTATTTATAAAACAGCTCAAAACTAAAGAAGACATTGAAATGATGAGTAGAATTGCATTTGCTATATCATATGTTTCTGTCTTCAGTACTATCTACAGTATTTAATAAATAATAAAACACTTTTACTCACATTTTTTTTACGATTTTACTTTTCTTTTAATTATTAATATAATATTAGCATGCAAGAATTAAATTTTAATTTAGTTCGTTTTTTGTTAGCATTACAGTAATGTATATACAAAACCCTCCATCAAAATAGAAAAAATAATGAAATGAGTTTACATGTATAACTATTGCATTGATTTAAAGCTAAAGTTCTCATTCCTTTTATATAACATGTCTAGTAACATAAAATAAATCTCCGTCATTCATTTTTCTATTTACAATATTTTTCCAGTAACTAATAAAACGACCTACTGATCGAAGAATTATAAATACTTCTAAATGTTTACAAATGGCAAAATTTACAAAACTTAGAATAAGTAATCGTTGCAAATTTTTAAGCAACATCACTCGATATGTAATTACTCACAATTGATATTAAATTATTATTTTTGTATTGCAGTTATTTTTTTGTTTTATCAATGGTGGAAAAACTTGTGTATAATACAACTGTAATATATTTATGTTTACATTCAACTATAAATTATTTATTTCGAAGGCAACTATGTTCATATATGTATATTTATGAAATAAGATTACTCTGGTTTACATCGAGATTATCGCGTAAAGAAGTGGTTGGTGTACTTTACAGTAGGCGTGCTGAATCTATTTCTAAAGTTAAAATTTTTCTACTAGATTCAGTTCTTGGAAAAATTCGATTTTATGGTAAACGGTCTTTCTAGAAATCGTTAATGTTTTAACAACAAATTATATTCTTTCTTAACGTGGGTAATTATTATGCTTGTAATATAATATTATAATTAAAATTAAGAGTTCTCGATAACATTTAATTGATATAATCTAAAAGATTGATAGGTTGGAGAAAATTGGTTATCAGAGTCGAATGCAGCACCCTAAAATTTGTGAAAGGCATCTAGAATTGAGCCTTTTTTTTTTAAAGTGGTATAAGTCCAATTTTGAAAAAAGTGAGATAAGGCTAGTTTCAGCTAAACATGGATGTCTTCTTTTCATATTTATGATAACAAAGTCAATGCACTACAATATTCTCATGAACTCATCAAAAGAAGTTTAACAGTTAAACTTCTTTAAACTTGTCTTAACTCATTTTTTTTTTCTCAAAATTGATTTCATACCACTTTGAAAAAAAACGGCTCAAATATTATTGCATAAATGCTTTTTTCGAAAGTGGAGTAAGTGGAGTAGGTTCATTTGCAGCTAAAAAAAACCTTGTTTTTCTTTAACAATATTAATAATTATTATCGCATAATAAAATTTAACATGTTTTCCAATACTTTTTAATTAATTCAAACGCAAAGCTTTAAATATCTCGACATAAGAATAAATGGACTTGTACTACTTTAAAAAAAGCGGCTCTCAAATGCTAGCGAATGCTAGAAAAGTGAAAATTCTTTTCTGTAGAGCAGTGTTATTAGAACAAAGAAATAATTGAGAGTCGAAAATTCTTAAATACGTTCACGTATTTATATTGACTATTCCCATTGTTCCCCGCAATCGGGTTTCTCTAATAAAATCAATAAAAGTAATATTGAATAAGTCCAATTTATTTATTACGGTCACTATGAAAAATGTTGGGATTCTTATTATATTTGATGACATCTGCCGTGCGACAAGAGGCCGATATGAAGAGTGGGGAAAAAGTGATGTGTGAGCCACTCGCATCATTGTATTAGATGCATAACTGAATTGCAGAATATTTAGAGCACCAGTGGCAGCTAGGTGCTTTTAGGTACGTAATTCGATAGCGAACTTTCGAAAATGCAGCAAGGTGACGGTTAAAATGACGATTCTGGCAAAGTTGATTTGTTAAACAAATAAATGAAATACAAGTATAGCAAATTTTTGAAAAATATTTGTCATCCGAACGAAGTGCATATAACCTAAAAGAAAGAAAATAAAAGAAACAATTTACTGCATATGAAATTTACGATCCGTACACTGTAACTTAAAGGATTTTACTGCAATATGATGTGATAACGTTGTACTGTACATCATGTGATCATTTAACCAATAATTTTAGTGTTAAAAGTATGTTAGTATTTATAATTCATGAATTTCTCAAATGTCTAATATTCTTTATAAAAATAAATTTTCTTTATTAGAAGATTAACCCTTTCATTGCTGTTGGCGCCAATAGGCGCTTTGAAAATTTACTCACACCGTTAAAGGTTAAACCGATATCGTGAAAATGCATTCGGTCGACAATTTAAGGAAATATCGAAAATTACTTACTCCACTTCCATCTACCGCAATTTTCATAGAGAAGTAGAAAAACCAATTACGACATTTCGTATTTTGCAAGACGCAATTCTATAAGTCAAACAGACAGATTAAGAAAAACCTCTTAACAGATCACATTTTTCATCAAAGTAAATAAGTAGTTTAGTAGAACGTACTTTAACATTTCTCACGTTTCAGTTTTTGCAACTATTCACACAAGGCTAAGTCTACGCGCGAGATACATACATATATATAACACTTTAAGTTATATTCGAAAAACTATGCATGCATAACAGAAACGAAAAAATTAAAAACTGCTCGTAGAAGAAAATTTGGGCATTGAAGTGTAAGTAACGAATAGACCTAAAGAGAATTAAATTGTATAACCAGTAATAAATAAATGTATGTATATGTCGAAAATTTGTATATGATTCGTTATTTCGATAATTTTAAGATTGTCAATCAGTTCGAATGTTCTAGATTCATTTTATACATAAGATTGTCTTCTAGGCTTTAAATACGAATCTCCTCAGATATATTGCACATTCTAACTCGTTGTTCTGTCTTCTATTTTCCCGATAAATTCGCCTTAGTAGCCACGGAAACGTAATCGCATTAAAGAAAAAAGTATTCTTGCTATGTCTTGCGGTTCGCCTGATTAATTTTTTCCCTCGATCACGAATAAATTCCATGGAAGTACTGTTGAATGTCTTCTGTTCATTCATTTGAAAAAAAATGGCAATCTATGTTAATCTTAATATTTAATGCAGAAATATATATTGTTCTTCTTTTACTTGAAGAAAACAATAGATAATAGTTACAATTCTCTATACATAAGAAAGAACGAAATTACACGTTTTACTTTTAAGTAAACACAATTTTGCCGTATATTTCGTATGCTTTAAATTGTTCAAATTTCAAACTAAGCTGACCGTAAAAGCAGATCGCAATAAAGTGAAAGGCGAACAAGGGGTAACGGATTGTCTATAGTCAGACGTACATGTTTTATGCACAGTATCACAGACACTTGCTTTCCTCTGTCTTCTGACACAGAAAATTTAAACAAATGTACCACATCCTCTACAACATAATTTAAAAACTATAGATTAAAAGAAAAACGAAAGAAAACGGAGGAAAAAAGAACACTACTACGAAAAATAATTTATTACTTATGAACATTATAACAATATCTATTTTTTAACTCGTGTGCACCTTTTACATACATTAATTCAACATACCAGAAAACGTATAACTCGTTCTTTCTACGTTTTCAGATCGAACAGAAATGATTTATTCAGATTAATGAAAATTAAAATCGTATCTACACATTTGTGGTAATATCATGTATAATTCCAAAGATAATGCGATAGAATTTAACATAATTTCAAGAATTCAATGCTTTCCTTCCCCTTTAAATAATAAAAAAATTTTTATATTCACACTCTTGTTATACCACAATAAAATTAAAGAAAAATTACATCAAATTTTAAATATGTTTATCAAAAATTTCTAATGTAGAATTATAATGATGTCCTTACAAAAGATAAAAAAAACGCAGAATATAATTCTCACAAAAGTCAACAATTAATATAGATACACAAATCAGCTTTAATAAAAAAAAAAAAGGAAAATAAGCAATAATAAATATTCGTTTAAAGTCAAATTTTGTAACAATAAGTTACCTAAATGTTTTACATAAAACGTTAAGTACTGTAAAATTATATTAAGATAAACAATTTGCAGGAATTGAATAGTATTGTTTATTCATAAGATGAATTATTTGCCCTTATAAATCCTTGAGGGGTGAGTTCAACTTTTAGGTTTGTCAGATTCCTTCGTTTGTTTGTTACTATTAATATTATTAATAGTTATGTAAACATTTATGAAAATTATAATTTAGTTACAAAATAGAAACGTAAGTTTATCATATATGTCATAAAAGAACGATTTGTGTTACTTTTATAACAAAGTAATAAAATTTCAATCAACTAAAATGCTCTAGATCTTTAACATTTTGCTTATCCTGTAAATTTTAACACGTATAACACGTCCATCGAATCGCATGTAGGTATACGTATTCTATTTTTATTCATGTTCGTACAGCCACTTTGATATTCAAGCATTTTATTTCAATTAGCATATTTACGACGAACATCATTATGCACCGTGTTGTATAAACATGGATAACCATACGTGTACGGGAAAATTCTTAGAATCAGTTGCAGCATCAGCTAAACGATAAACTTATTGTCAGTGAACTACAAAAG